CGAACGAACAGGTTTCCGTTTAGGTACGGTACTTGAAGACAAGGTAAGTCAGTTCCTGTTATAATCAATGTTTGCAAAACTTTAAATTTTTGGATGTAATGACTGCCATTCTTCACCTAGGAAAAACCAGGAACATCGAATGAGGTCCAACTACCAGAACAAACGCTTCAGAGTCCTAAAAATATACCACCACCGCCACCTGGACCTGCTCCCCCTATTTCCTCCTTAGCTCTTCCAGGTACTAGCTGTAATATTCCTCCACCCCCACCAGGGCCGCCACCAAATCTAAGCCTCTTACACTTATCAAATACCTCCTCACCATCCCAAAAAAAGAACAGCGAAGAAGATGAAGAAGCACGCAAGAAAAGAATTTGTAAAAATCTTTCACCTTTGACACCGTATGACCCCTCAAAACTGATAGAAGAAATGAAAAGAGTACAGCTACGACCTGCTGAACCGGTATAACTTTGTACTTTTGCTTCTCCAGCCATATTTTGAACTTGGCTTAGCTAAAAATACCATCCTTTTTCCCATCATCGATATTTGACTCAAACTTATAATAAATTCAGATAGAGAGAGTCCAGCAAAGAACTCCGCATGATGATCTGTTGCAAGCAATAAGACAGGCCGGAGGAATCAAATCTTTAAAAAAAGTAAATGCACTTTTTCAATTAAATATAATTTAAAAAACTGCTTTTATTTTTAAAAAATAATTAATGATCACTTTTAATAAAATAAAAATTTTATTTAAGTTTCCACTTAAAGAAACCGCCAATTATTTCAGCAAGCAAATGAACGAATAAAACCCGTTTAAGTAAACAAAAATCACTCTTTATACACAAAAGACTTTTCTTTCTTGGGCACAAAATAAATAAAGACCTGTAGTGAAATAGTTTCAAACTTGAATACTTGGTTTACAAAAAACAATATCGAAAAGAATACTTTATTAGAAGCATCATCTGTTTTACTTTTTAACAGATATATTGGTTTCAGTAAAAAAATTTCTAACTGTTTTCAGAGCATCCCCAAAAAGTGTTTCTAGGTAACCTAGAAAAGCTTGTCAAAAAAGCACTTAGTTTATCCAATAATTTGACAATAATTCATAATTTATAAGTTTTAAATAACAGTGCCATAAAAGTTCTGGCACAAAATGATTTATAAAATTCATTCTATGTATCATTTAAGCTTCATCAGTTTTAGAAGACAACCACAAGTAGTGTTGATAATGATAATTCCCAGTGGATCACCTTTAAATCAATTATTTTTTAGAGAACAGCAGCATAAAAATTTGTTGCTTGAAAAAGTGCCATCATTTTATAATGAATTTCTAAATAGCCTGCTGCAGTGAAGAAACTTAGAGTATTACTGCCTCGCTAAATATTTACCTTGACAGATGACATCGTCCACCACTAATGTGTTAGCTGTTTGTCTTGTATTATATGATATACTGGAGATTATTTACTTTTATAAAACGTACTTCTCTTAGTCTCTTTAAATTTACTTAAGTTTTATCTCAACAAATTTGACTGTTGGTAAGATTATTCGTATTTAGAAAATTATAGAAATATAAAAAAAATTTTTTCAATATTCTTTCAACTCACCCAAACTTAAAAGTCTTGACAAAAAAATGCGAAATAGGTTAAACTGTCATTAGTGTAAAAAAAGCCATATTCTTTTATCATATTTTTCGGGTCCCTATTGTAAAGCTTGTATAAAAATCACATCAATCAGATGAATAGCAAATTAATTGGTTAACCTAATTAACAGAAAGTTTTTTAAGGCAACTTACCTGTCTTTAATTAGTCATTCTTTTACTTTTTCTCCGTCTTTTCCAGTAAAAACTGAATTCACAAAAGTAATTGTAGATAGATAATTCTAGCGACGACTAAATTCTGAAAACAACAGTTATAAATCTTTCTTTTTTTATAATTTTAATAACTAGTAAATTAAACAGTCAAAGATTTGCTTTCCGCATCATTATTTTTCCACCCCTTTTATTAGATAAATAAATTTAAAAGAGAGGAGAATAGGAATTAGATTAGAAAAAATGATGCAGAATCTCTCAGGATTTCACTGTTAGACGCAACTAAATATTTCACCTGTTGCTTTCCTCTTTCTGGTAGTTTTTATACTCAACAAGAGACGAAAAACAAGTAGTTAGAAGACAGATTTATAAACTTTTTTTAAATAAAAATTCCGTTAATACGGGTAAATAAAATATTTTATGCTATCATATACTTGACCAATTTTTGAAACAAACAAGAAAGAAGGGAGGAAGAAGAAGAAGAAGAAGAAGAAGCTGTTATTTGAAAACAATAATAACATTAAAAGAGTTACAAACATTTTACTGTGCCGAATAATTTAGCGTTACTGCTCTGCTATCTAAAAATAAGCTACCAAATAATACAGTGCTCAAAAAACTCGAGGCCTCATTTTCATCTGAAGTTTACTAAGTTGGAAATAAGAAAAATTGCATTTTCTTCTCATTATAACTAATTTGTTTGTTTGTTTGTTTTTTGTTTTGTTTGTTTTTATGTGTCAATTAAAAATTGATCTATCGTTTGCCTCTCTAAAGTTGTTATATGTGATGTTCCAATGCCTCTTCTCTTTATTTACCCTATTTCACTCTTTATTTATTAATTTATTTTTTTTCTGTTCAAAATAATTTTGAAAACTTGTTTTATTTTGTTTCCCCCTCCTCGTTTCCTCCGCTCTTTTCCAAAATTTTGTCAAATAAAATTCATTTGAACCTCTTTTGCCTTAAATTTTCTCTAAACGAGATCCTAAACAACAGATGATACAGCTCACGACACATTTTCAGTCTGCCCTCTCTTCCTTCAGTTCATCCTCGACAGAAACTCCCATAAACACTGAAGAATTCTGTTGTCGGCTGAAAGACCTGGGCTAAAGAAGTGCAAACTTCTCATGCCCACTGTTCATAAATACCGACACATTCAGTGTCAGCAACAAATCACCCATTTACAACGGTTGACCGTATCTAACACTGGCAAACGTGTCAGAAGCTACAATTTTTACAACTTTTGCAAAACATTACACATGAAAAAAAGAAAAGCACAAACATAGAAAGCAAAATACTTCTGTGACGTAAAACCTCTCGCCACCTTTCAGACTGCAAATAAACAACGAAAGATCTGAAATTTTTTCATTAGCAGCTACAAAACTTCAACAATCACCCTTGCCAACTGTCATTAATAGAAGCCAGTTTTCGACGACTGTAAGTAACGCAGCAACTTGCAAGTGAAAACTGTTGATGATTTTACTGATAATGTACTTCATTTCAACAAAACAATATACATATCATCACTGTACAAAATTAATCAACAAGTACGCCAGGAAACAATACAGTTGCATACTTCCACGCATTAAATTCAATCATTTGTCGACAGCGAAAAATCAAAACAACTCCACCATCTATTCCAACAAGCAACTTCTTCACTATCACTTTTTTACTCCAAAAGCAAAAACCAAAGCATTAGGATTACTTTTGAAACTCATATTTGCTTTCACAATCACTTTACTCAATCCCCTACCAAGAACTGCATTAAATGGTTCCTCTTTACAATAATATAATAAATAAAATGATTACATAAATTTGAAGTATCATATTATATAAAGTATTAGCTGTACAACAATGACAGAATTATTTGTAAAATAATGTAGCAACAAAAACGCCTCAGAACAAAGTTACAGAACAAAGTAAAACTTTATTTGCAGCTTATGAGGTTTTTTAGAAGATTGAGAGATCAAGATTTGATAACAATTTTTAACTATTTCAAGATTAACAGACCAGTAACATTTCAGTGGGTAAAGTATTGTTAAAGCTATTGTACTGTCAACTGGGCAAACGGAGGAGTACACGCGATGAATCATCTTTTTCACTGTTTAGTTTTCCAGTTCATTTAGTTTTGATGAATTAATGCTATTTGGTTTAGATCGTTTGTTGCCTGTAATACAGCAGAAGTTACAAATTTGAGTCCTTGATTTAAAACTACTTATTTCGACCCTGTTGAATAAATGGGAAGTTTATAAAACAAAGCGAGGAAATATGAATAAAGTTAAATGTTATAAGACAAAAATTTTTAAAGTATCAAAGCCACAGATGATTCCGCTCAATAAAATAAAATTAAGCCGTTAGAGGAAAATAGAAAAATTGAATTAATTTCTAATAAATATTATTGATAAGTAATGTGTTAAAGACTCGCCGGGAAAGGAAGGATATTTCTGCGTGTAACGATTTTGAAAAGACCTCATTTGAACATTCCGCGAAATATTTGGGCGCTGCATCTGTAAATTCACCGTATAAGCGAGTGCGTTATGGTAACTCAAAACAATTTTATCATTTGAATGATTTGGAATCCCTTTTTTTAACACATTATTCCAAAACAAACATACAATTTTCAACGGAAAGACCACATATAGCAAAAATCTAAATTGTTAAATAATATAAAGTACAATATTGTGAGCTGAAGGCTGTTCTTACATCTCCAGTGGTGAAATTGGGAGGCGGACCGTCATTGTAAGTTTGCTGGTACGAAAACTCTAGAGAATTAACCGCCGAAACTTGTGGAACAGGAACCACAGGAAAACAGTAATTCTAAACAAGACTAAAACACTAGTATTTAACATTTATTAATAACACCCATAACTTACTAACTGACTGGCGTTCATAATCTGTTCCGAGTTATCAAAATGAACAACAGGCAAATTCAACTGTTCACTAAAAGAAAAGTTGGCAAGAAAAATTGTACTTATAATAACATTTTCAAAATAACAAATCTTTGATTCATTTTAGAGCATCCCTTCTTTCATAACTAATTTACAAATTAAACACGACTGTATCGGTAAGAAGTACAATTATTTTGAAAAAAGTATCAAATTATTTCTCTAAATATTTAAAGCAACAAAAAATCACTCTTCCATTCTACGTCAAACATCAAAAACAATTTCTTAGTTATGTCTCACCCAAAAAACTGCATTTAAAAAACTCTATAAACTAAGTGAAATATAACACAAGAAATCAGAGGACTCTTAATAACGCCAAAAAAACTCTGAAAATCTATAATGACCACTAACGGCCTTCAAAATCCTAAAGAGTGACTCTAAAAACATCTCCAAATCTGTCCAAAACAAGATCGGAAGAAAGGTACCAAAGCGAATTCTTAGTTCTTCTTGAGCTTTAAACATCCCCAGTGAAAGCCAAAAGTAACTTATTCAACTAAGACAGGCAGATGATATAAAGTAGAAAACTAATGCTGAAAGCACCTATATTCAAACAATTACTACCAGGTTTTTTGAGAACAATTGATTCAAATAAAATCTTTTTCAATTCTGAAATAAATTTTCCTTGTCGGTCTAATACAGATGCTAACCGAAGCTTCCTTAATAACATCAGTGCATAACAGTTATAACCAGGACTATCAGTCATTCATGTAAGGAAAACCCAAAACGTCAAGTATACTCACTAACTACTTTTAATCACTTCCTTACCATCAGTGACGATATCAAACAAATTCAATCAAAGTTTACTGTAATTCTGAGCTAAAAAAAATGAATACCGGATTTAAAGGTTGACTCTTCATTGATAGCTGCTGTGTGGTATTCGGTGGTTCCTGCTGCATCATGTTATTTCCGTACATAGGAGGAGATGTGCTACCGGTAAGCATATTCTGATACTGTTCGAAGTTCTGGTTTTGAGTACCATCGCCACTTCCAATTTCGTATGTCCCACACTGCCCTTGCTGCTGCACACCAATTCCGCTGTTGGCCTAATAATTAAAAATTTAACTGAATTTGCGTTTAAAATCATGCTGTATGCCA